GCAAATGGTACTGCCTGGTCAAACACCCCGTGCATTCAGTCGCCCAATATCTATCCACCGTGGCATTTTCCAGGGCAATTCCCTTTCTCCACTGCTATTTTGCCTGTCTCTAAATCCGATCAGTGGCGAGTTGACCAGGACGGGTCTTGGCTACCGCTGTGGCCCACCGGCCCAGGTGTGCCCTGTATCGCACCTGTGGTACATGGACGACATGAAGCTCTTCGCCCGAAACGACAATAATCTGCTCTCCATGACCAATGTTGTGGAGTCAATGGGCGACTGCATTGGTATGCGATTCAACCCATCAAAGTCTAGCTGGCTCACCATGAAACGGGGAAGAGCCCAGAGCGATCAGCAGTCTGCTCTCCAGACACTCCAGGGTCACGCCATTGCTAAGCTGCAGGCGGAGGAGTCCTACAGGTACCTTGGTGTCCCGGAATCAGCACATTTTCACGCCACCGAATTGAAGACCACAGCAAAGGCTGAGTTCGGCCGCCGCCTTCAATTGATATGCTCGTCTCAATTGAACGCCAGGAACTTGGTCAAAGCCATCAACACCTTTGCCATTCCAGTCATCCTCTACTCTCTGTGCATCGTTGAGTGGACAAAGGCAGAGATAGAGGAACTCGACCGACAGACCCGCCAAGCACTGTTTAAAGCACACGCCCGCCACCCCAAGGACTCTGCCGCCAGGGTCCACCTGCCTCGTGACATGGGTGGTCGAGGAATTCTATCATTCCGGGATCTCCTGGATAGAACCCGTGTCCGGGTGGCGCGGTACCTACAAGCCCACCCAAACGTGCCACTGTTGGCTGCTGTTAAGCGCCATCACGACAATGATGTGGCACCGTCAAAATCAGTTACACGTCAAGCCTCCAGACTTCTGGGTGAACTTGACCTACCCGACTTGGAGACTGCCACAAAAGTCATTGTCAAGAAGGCCGTTGCTCTCCGGTGCCTGGCCGTTATCCAAGGTAAGCCTCTCCATGGCCAGTTCTGGAGACGAGCTTCTGATGCTGGCTTGGACCTGGGCTTGAGTTTTCGCTGGCTGAAATCGCCAACGATCAGGCCTGCGACAGAGGGACTCTTGCTGGCTGTACAGGATCAGGCCATTGCGACCAGGCACTATCAGGTCACGGTCATTGGACGGGGAGACGTTGTGGACATTTGTCGAGTTTGCGGCACTCGCGGAGAAACAGTTGATCACATTGTGGCCTGTTGCCCAGCCCTAGCCAAAACACTGTATATCGAACGGCATGACACGCTCGTCAAGTTGGTGCATTGGGCACTATGCAAGCGGCATGGTCTGGGTCAGCCGGGAAGCAACCCGCTGAAGCATCATCTTGTGCCTGTCACGGAAAATCCTGACATGAAGCTCCTGTGGGAGTTCAATATCCCAACGGATACGCAAGTGCGCCACAACCGTCCAGACCTGGTGTTGCGGTCCAGCACACAGGTGCTGCTGATGGATGTCAGTGTTCCACTGGACCAGAATGTGCCCACAAAAATCGCCGAAAAAATAACAAAGTACGCTCCCCTTTGCCAAGAGCTGCGGCGCATCTGGCATGTGGATGATGTCCGCGTTGTGCCCCTGGTTGTTGGGGCGCTTGGTGGACTGACTGGTGTGTCCCTCTCACACTTTGTGTTGGCATTGGCAGGCACTCTGCGCATTGAAAGGGCTCAGCAATGTGCTATCCTGGGCACGCTGAACATCATCAAGTCGGTTCTTGGCATTCGGCATTAGGCTCCTCATGTTACGGGTAGAGCTAGTCTGTATAAACCTCCAATACCGCATTTGCTTTGACATCCATGAATGTGCAGTATGACGGTTCTCACAGCCTGATTTTTCTCTTGCCATTTGAGTATGTCCGGCATTCATCTCTTCCTCTATTTCTACAGGTCTATTCCTGTACTGGTAGTCCATTTTTGTGATTACTCTTTTTGTATTCGAATATGTCCTGGCATCCTCCATCGTACTGCTTATTTCTGTCCGTCTCTCAGTTTCTGCGTCGGCTTTCAATATTTTTGCTTTGGTTTTTACAATCCTTTTTGCTTCGGTCTTCATTGCGTTGGCCATTTATCTATTTTTTTTTCTCTCATTACCCTTGGTCTCTTTTGGCCCGGTGATGGGGTTCTTACCTCATGTCATGACAACGTGAGTGAAATAAAGCCAACTCCATAATAATAATAATAACTGGTTTGAAGGAAAGAGACAAACGGGAAAAGTCTGAAGAAAAAATTGACTGTCACCACCAGGACTCGAACCAGGGACCCTCGCTTGTAGCCAGCGATGCTCTAACCACTGAGCTATGGTGTTGTCGTCATCCCAGCAGAGGCCGTTCAACATTTTCTTCAGAATAATAATAATAATAATAATAATAATAATAATACCGTTTTCGTGTGTGTGTGTGTAGACATGGCATTTTACCGTTCACGCTATTTTCGACTGTCGGCCTGTACCGTTTTGTGTGTGTGTATAGACATGGCATTTTACCGTTCACGCTATTTTCGACTGTCGGCGCCGGCCTGTATCGTTTTTGTGTGTGTGTGTAGACATGGCATTTTACCGTTCACGCTAGATCCAACGGTACTCGTACCCAACACCCAAAATACCGTCGGTTTGGCACCGTTTCGACCACGGAAAGCCCTGTTTAGCGGTAGAACGAAACGGTGAGGTTTCAAGTAAGGCTTACGTCACAACTCACAAGTCGATCGTTGCATCAGGAGTCATGACTCAGAAGCCGAACTGCTAACCGTGTCTCGAAAACATACAAAAACCAGTAGACAGGCCTGTCGCCCTCTACACGCCGACCGTCGAAAATAGCGTGAACGGTAAAATGCTAACCAGGGAGTCGTAAAAGCCCGGGAGAGGACACGGGATACGCGCACGCGGACGATGTTTGCCTCGGCCAGAAAGTGAAGCACGCTTGGCCGGCGCGGCCGGATCTGCTCGATCCACGGCGCTGTGCTCGTTTTCAGGGCAGGGAGTCCTAAAATACCAATATTTTACGACTCGTTGTTGACACCATTATCCGAAACTGGTGGCGAAGGAAGCATAAACATGATTGTGTGTCTGTCTGTCAGACTCAGTACACATGGTACAGGGGGTGGGGAGTTGACTGTGTGTGTGTGGGGGGGGGGGGTGTGTATGTGCACATGTGCTTGTACTTTTGTGTGTGTTTGCACAGTGTTTGTGTGTGTGTGTGTGTTTGCACAGTGTTTGTGTGTGTGTGTGTGTGTGTGTGTGCGCGCGCGCGCGCGTGCGTGTGTGCGCATTTTTGTGCACAATTCCGTTATGAAAAACAAATGATAGGTTTACCTTTTGTACACTCGCCAAGACTTCGGTTAGATTCACTGAGAACCTTTCTGGCCAACCTGGAGGCTGAGCCTTCCGTTTCCTAAACGGCTAAAGTCACCGCGTACTCAGTATACGAGTAGAAAAGTGTTGTAGATAGATAGGGAACACACATTGATTGTTTTTAAAAGACTCCCAGGCAATATCATGAATCATGGAACGAGTGCGTAATAATGCTGCTCTATGTTGCGTTTTGACGATGCTGAAGGAAGGGAGCTGTTGCTGTTGATTCACTCACAACACACACTCGACTGCAATTTCAGTGCAATTTCTGACACAAGTTCATAAATCCACGAGTACGAGGAAGCTCAGCGGATCTCCACAAGAACTTTCGCCCATCACCTGCAATGGAATATGGGCTGTATGATATGACCAGCGGCTAACATGGGAAGTGGCGTCATTTTCCACAAATCTCGTTTCATTCACAACCATTTGACTGCAATTCAGTGCAATTCTGCCACAAATTCAACTCCACGAGTACGAGGAAGCTCAGCGGATCTCAACACGAACGTTCACCCATCACCTGCAATGGAATATGGGCTGTATGATACGACCAGCGGCTAACACGGGAAGTGGCGTCTCTTTCCACAAATCTCGTTTCATTCACAGCCATTTGACTGCAATTCAGTGCAATTTCTGCCACAAATTCAACTCCACGAGTACGAGGAAGCTCAGCGGATCTCAACACGAACGTTCGCCCATCACCTGCAATGGAATATGGGCTGTATGATACGACCAGCGGCTAACACGGGAAGTGGCGTCATTTTCCACAAATCTCATTTCGTTCACCCCAACTCAAATAAAAGTGAAGTACAATTAGGGATTTATCTTGCATTTCCATCGCCTCAGAATAAATTAACTTCGATAAACTGAGAGAGAATGAGTGAGGCAGCTGGAAGAATTGAGGATGAAAATAGAGATTAGAAGACTCGACGGAGAAATCGTCTCCGTGCTCTAAGAGAAATCGGAGAATGTCCCAATTAGTATTTCAAGAAGACATCACAATTTTCGAAAATAATAATTTCCTTGCCTCGCTACACCGTTCCCTGGCGCAGCGTTCCCCGGCAGCGCGAGGCAAAGATGTTTTCTGGGAATGTGTGCCGTGTCCTCTCCCGGGCTTTTACGACTCCCTGATGCTAACCATGTGACTGTCTTTGTAGTGTATGGGTTTTCAACTCTTTCGCACAGTCGAATCGGGCACATCCTTCGCGACTTTGGCCACTGGATGAAGTGCAAGCATGCGCAGCCGCGCAGCCGCTACAATGTACACTGTAGATCTACCAAGGAGTCGTGAATTAATATTTTACGACTCCCTGCATGCACTGCACACAATCACAAGTAAGAACAAACAACTTTGTATACACAATGACTTTATAGATTATGTCATAGTCATTGTAGACACCAGCGAAAATTATAAAGCGAAAAACGCACGGGGAAAGACCGAGTCGCCGGCCAGCGCTGCCTACCCTGCCCCCGGCCGCGTCCCCGTGTTCATACTGATGTCAGTTTGATTGTACCACACAGTCCTGCACTCGGAGTTGTTCCGTTCACTTCATTCAGGTCATCAGATTTCCATCACTGAACTGAGAAACTGGGCTTTCGTCTTTCACACCCACCAGTGACCTGTTGTTGTGTTTTGAAAGCAATGGATGCGAAGGCTCAGGAGCCCGCCGCAAAGCGCAAGCCTCTGCTGCCTTCGTTGGTGAAAGCTAAGAAGAAGTTGTTGGAACAGGCTGAAGAGTCGGGAGTTCAGCTGAGCGGCGGCCTCGCTTCCGATGATCACATTCCGCTCGAACAGATATTCGTGAATTTGGCCTTTTTGTCTGAAAAGGAATTGAAAAGAGACTTTGATGAAGCGTTCTCGACGTATGCTGAGAGTCGTGAACACGCAGTGCAATTTAGCAAAGCCGATCGAATTGAATTGAAGAACCTGTTTCGTGCCGCAGCGTCGAGTGTTGACGACGTTTCCCATTCAAAAGGAAAATCTGCACCAGCAGCTACAGCGACCGAGCGACCGAATCTGTGTGGCAAGGTGTTACGGAATGTACTGGCGTACGGATCTGCTGGTAGTGGCAAGACCACAGTGTTTCTGCTCATGGTTCTATACCTGTGGAGCAGAGGCGAACTGTGGCAGGAGGAATTCGATCTGGTCGTAGGACTGGAGCTCCGTGAAAAAGAGGTGAGAGCTGCCACTAGTCTTGCTGAGCTGTTGGCTGTGAAACTGGACACCCTGGGCCTGTCGCAGACTGAGATATTGGAGCTTGCAAGCTACTTCGAAGACTCTCCAAGCCGTCTATGTGTCATCATGGACGGCTTGGATGAATGTGATTTCGCCAGCTGCAGTAAGTTCATGAGACATTTGCTGAAACGTGAGGGCATGGTGAAGACACACGTGATCGTCACAAGCCGTCCATGCCAGGATGCATATCAACTATCGCAGTGTGGCAAATATCAGCAGAAGATCCAAGTACTCGGTTTCTCACCGGAGAACGTGAGGGAGTATGCAGAGAAGGTTCTCGGTAGACAGCGCGCTGAAATTCTGCTGGCAGAGCTGCAGAGCAAGCCGGATGTGTCATGTCTTATGGCAACTCCCATGTTCGCAGCCCTAACATGTGAGCTTTTCAAGAGCAACAATGCCGTGTGGAAGTGCAGCGCATCCCTGTACGAATCGTTACTGCGCCGAGTCGTAGAGCGTGCTGGTGGTGCGGTTTGCGAGTCGATTTCACTGGCACCCAGCAAAGTGGTCCAGTCGCTACAGGAACTGGGGCGTTTTGCGTTTCGCATGCTGCTGGGGAAAAGGATGGTGTTCAACACGGCTGACGTCAAGAACTCCCACTTGAGCAAGGATGCAATGAGCTTGGGTCTTCTGCAAACATGCCAGGGCACAATGTCTACGGACGTTCGGCAATACCGCTTCTGCCATCTGTCACTGCAGGAGTTCCTGGCGGCATGGTTTCAGGCGGAATGCGTGGTGAAAGAAAGACATCACGCCATTGCACTGGTACGGCGACTGGGCGCGTACGATGGCCATATGGCAATGTTCTGGAAGTTTCTCATTGCTCTATGCCCGGAAGACGTGTCGCTGACCATCATGGAGGAGCTATGGCGTGTGCAGTGTGCGGATCCCATACCACTGGATCCTAGCGGTGAGGCGGACGAATCCACCCAACAAGCTAATAGATGGGCCAGCGACGGGCGACAGAAATGGGCTTCCGACGGAGAGCTATGGCGTGTGCAGTGTGCGGATCCCATACCGCTTGATCCTAGCAGTGTCGCCGATGTAGCCACCAAACAAGCTAACACATGGGCCAGCGACGGGCGACAGAAATGGGCTTCCGACGCGACGACGAAGGCCGCCAAACATGCTGCTACTGCCGCTAGACGTGCTGACATCGCCGCTAAGCTAGCCGAGGACATGCGCAACGACTCAAGTGTCCTGACCGGTGAGATGGAGATGGCAAAGGTCCACGACCGTCTTTGCCAGATACTGAAGGCCGAGCACATGACAGTCCTCGCCGACATTCTCCTCATTCCTCGGCATGACCGTGGCAAGGGCCATGGTGGGGAACGTGTGCGCCGTTCCATGCCCATCAGCCGAGAGCCCACAGACGCGCTATTCCTAAAGACTCTCCTGACGGTGTGGATGGAGAACGGCAGTGTTGCAAATGGCACTGTGCTGCTGGAAGCGCTATCCCAGGTGGATGCCGAGCTGGCGCGGCTGTGCGAGAGTCTCCTTCATCCCGCTGCTATGCTGCTGAGTCGTGAATCCCTGCAAGCTGCTCCTTCTGGCATTGTAAGTCTAGCTGATGCTCCTGTCGCTGCTCGTGCACATTCTTATATACGTAGGTTGTTTGTTCATCTTGTGGTGGCATATCATGAGCATGCAGAGTATCACGGTGTGTCCTGCAACTGGACACACCCTTTCTTTCGTGCTATGCTTGCATCAAAGCTCAATCTCTTTGGCGTTTCTCTTTCTTCTCATGAATGTGTTGCTCTCAGTTCTTTACTGTGTGGCTATACATGTAGTGATTTGGAGGCAGTCGACCTCGCATGTTGTAGCATTGGCAATGAGTCATTTCACAGCTTATCAGCAGGCTTACAGAGGTGTAGCAGTGTACGTGTACTACGTCTACAGTGGAATGGTATTCATGATGGTCAGGCATTGTCCTCCGTGATTTCAGCCATGTCTGCTAGTCTTGTGGATGTGGATGTCGGTTTTAACCCTGTTGGTGTGAGTGGTTTTGTGTCGGTGTGCCGTGCACTTAGTCAGTGTAA